ACTGAGGAATACATTCAAAGCTAACCTCTGGCCTACATATATAAACATACACACACACACACACACACACACACACACACACACACACACACACACAACACACACACACACACACACACACTTCACATGTGCTAGGAACAAAACCCATCTCTCCCTCTTCATCATGGCTGCTTTTTGGTGTGAGGCTCTGAACCACTGTAGTCTACTTACAATAGTTTACAGTTGCAAAAAGGTACCAATGTGTTGCAAGATCACTTCGCAGAGCCAAAGAGTGTCTAGCAGAAGTCCACACTGGGACCTAGGGAAAACAATTCCCTGGCTGTGGTGTAAACTTGTATCTTTGTGTCATTTAAGAGCCTCCAGGAAGCAAACACCAAGAAAGAATTGGGGTACCAGAGGGCTTCAGGCATAATGCCTCTGAAGGACAGTGGATTTGGGGACACTCTGGGAGAGTGAGTAGGTCTGATACAGGAGAAGAGGAAAGGAGGGGGCTATAGGAAAAGCTTTCAGCTGGGTTGGCTGCAGAGAATGCCACACTGTTGAGACATGTGCAGACCTGTGTCATTGCACTTCTCCTTTTCCAAAGCTGGTTGGGAAGCACCTGGTGTCTACTTACAAGCTGAGGAAGATCCTGTGTGCACCTGCAGGAGGCTGGAAGCTGCCACCCATGGCAGGTTCTCTCCAAGGGACCAGTGAGTTGCATCTCAGAGGCCATAGCCTTGATTGTTTGAAAATGTGTGTACTTGTTCTTGTGTTTCTGTGAGTCCCTATGCATGTAGGTGAAGGCCAGAGAACCTCCGGTATCAGTCTTCAGGTGCCTTCAGGTATCTGATTTTTTACCTGGAGCTCACACAGTTGTCTAGGTTAGCCAGGCAGCAAGATTCAGAGGTCTACCTGTCTACTTCTGTAGTGCTCTGATCACTAGTGTGTGCCACTCTACTGAGATGTTATATCATGGGTTCTGAGAGTCCAACTCAAGCCATCATTGCTTGAAAAGCAAATGAAGGCGAGAATGTAATGACTTCACTAGACCCAAGATAAATGATAAATGGGTGGTTATTGGGGAACACTTACGTAAAAAAAAAAATACAAAGAACTGCGGGAGCATTTCTATGGCCTTCCTACCAGATTGACTGACCCACCTGAAAGAGCGCCTCCTCAAGCTTCCCTCCTTCCACTTCCATCCACCTGAAGCCACACCCAAAGAGATGTGGCCCCCGTTACAGGTTCACAGACAAGACATCTACAAGCAAGCATTTCCAACTGAGCCAAACCCACACAGCCTTGATATTTCACAAAGGACTTGAAGTCTAGCAGGCCTGGATAACCCCAGCACTCATGGGCTGTGTGAGCTTTCACAGGATACTTGACATCTCTGAGCTTCAGGTTCCCGGAATGCCCAGGTTGCTTTCCTATGTCTTGGCTCCTTGTAAAGAACACTGATTGGCCTCTCTGTGTTTCCAGACATGACACACAATAAAGTGGTAGTCAGGGGTCCCCCGCACTTTACAGGGAACACACAGATACTTTGTGACCTTGACTCTTCTTCACATTTCTTATATCACAGTAGAAGCAGGACTACAAGATCCCTGACTATGGTAGAGATTATCCCATGGAGGAACATGGAGCCAGAGGCCACTCGAGGGCTTATTGTGGGGTCAGTGTTGACCATGATGGAGTATGGAGCTAGGGAGGCCATGGCCATCAAGAAGGTAGTGGAGATAATTGTGGAGGTAGTGCAATTGGCAAGGCCATGGGGGGGGTAATAGAAATGACAGAGGTGGAGGGAATGGAGGTACAGATGACAGAGGGGAGCAGCGGTAGAAGATGAGAGCAGTGGCAGAGGGGATAGGGTGGGGATGGTGGAAGGTGTGACGAGATGGTGATAGTAACAATGTCTGTGGGGGAGAAGCAGATGGTGGTGATGGAGGTAGAGAGGGTGAAGGTGGCAGAAGGGGAAGTGGTCATGAAAATTGCAGTAGTGGTGATGGAGATGGTGGTGATGACAATGGCTGTGGTGGATGTGGAGATGGTGGTGATGATGGTGGGAGGAGAGGAATGGTGGTGAGCTTCACTCTGACACCCCATTGGCATTCTGTCTCTTGCCTCCCACACCTGCCGTTGTGCACTATCATAAACCATGCTGTCTTCCTGTGGACTGCCAGTCTGTTCTATCCACTTGTCCTGTGCCTCTTCAGTTATACAAGCCAGGAGCATACTCCACGTGCCTTGGTGGGGAAATCCAAGAAGCAGAAACAACAGTGCATATCCCTAAGCAGTGGCTAAGGTGACTCAGGCTTAACAAGGTATTGCCATGGACTGTGTGCAGATGTGCAACAGCCACAGGGACCTGCCCAGCCATGCCTGCAGACCTGGAGAGCATGTCTCCTGACCTCTCAGAAGGAAGCAGGCACTCTGTTGAATGCTAAGTTCCTGGCCCTCTTCTCTTTTTCAGACCCACAACTGGCTTCCTTTGGGTCTCTAGACCAGGTTCTGCAACACCCAGCTTCCCTGCATTACCTTGGCAAATGCCATCCTTGAATCAGTGTAGGAAATGACGGGACCACAGAGAGAAAGCATCTGAGTGCCCTCACTCTCTTCTCACTAGGGAATTATTTGGGCTTTTCATCATCTCCAAGCTACAGCAGAAGGTAATGAAGACATTTGTCTCTAATTCAACAGGTAGATGAGTTCAAGGACAGTCTGAGCCCCAAGAGCTACAGCATGAACATGTGGTGGCCAGATGGTCTCCTCTAGAGTACCCCCTCTGCATCCCTTGTTTCCCCAGCCACCAAGCTCCTCCTCCCTGAGTCTCCTAAGATTCTATGGATTAAGATCCAGGTCTCATTTTATGACATAATTATGACTACAGGCACTACAGCAGTGTTTCTTGAAGCAGAGTTCTTGTGCCATCGTGCAAGTAACCAGATAACCTAGAGTAAGAGGGGATCACCCAATGAGTATTAAATAGCTAATTCCCGGACAAGAAAGGAAGTCAGTTCAAATCACCCTCTCATCATCACCATCACCACCACCATCATCATCTCTACCACCACCACCACCCATGGTGAGTTGCTATTTGTGGTAGATTTGGTCCTATGGGAATCACTCAGCATCTTAGAACCAAGCAAATAGTCTCAGTGGAGAGATGCTGAGGCTGAGGCAGGGAGGAAAATGAAGACATGGTGAGCTCCAGGATGGTAGGAAGGGTAGTCTGCTGTGATTTAAAACCTGGACTAGGTGGGGAGCTCCCAAATGCCTCAGCTGGTAAAGGTGCTTGCCACCAGCCTGATGACTTGAACTTGAGTTTAAGCCCTGGACCCACATGGGTGGAAGGAGATAAGCAACTCTCAGTTGTTTTCAGACCTCAGATAGAGAATAAGAAAGTTTGAAATCCTAGAATAGGCTGGCTTCCATGTAAATCCCTAGCTTAACATGTCAGCAACTTGTGATGTTAGAGAATGACCAGTGCCCTAAGAGCTCCCCAGTCCAGTGTCAGGTGCCTTGAAATCATCACCTCCCTCAAGACAACCTGAGACAGGGGGTATTTAATTCAGGTCTTTTACAGAGGAGAATAAAGTTAACTGGGTTAAGTTCAAGGTGACAGAGTAATATGTATGGTTAATCAACAACTATTATCACCCAGGTAGAATATTTCATTCAAACCTCCCAATGCTAAGGGCTATAATCATTATTTCACCTTTTCAGATAGAAAAGGTCTAGTTAACTTACCTAGAATCTTATATTAGCACATGGAGGGCCTGGGACCTGAGCCCTCAAAGCTTAGTTCTGAAGCCAACCTTGATGCCACAAAACCCATCACTTTAAGGGATGTCACAGAGGCAGGTTCCTCTCAGTGTATACTGGTTTGGCTCCCACAAGATCCCCAGGCTCAGGGGTTCTCTAGCATCTGCACATGGGGTGGTAGGTACCCAGAGTCGAAGGGGAGTGTGACAGTGGTTCAGGTAAGTTTAACTTGAAGAACTAGGGTCTCAGAAATTCAGTGGCTACCCAAGTCACTCTGAGCCAGTGGTTCCCAGGTTGGTTGTCTCAGGGTCTCAAAGGAGGACAGCAGAAGGCAAGGAAACTAATGAGGTAGAGAGCCAGCTCCCTAAAAGGGAGGGGGCTGGAGGGGCCTCCTTTGGGATAATTCTTAGACTTGGTACTAGAGCCTCTTTGACTAAAGCCTGTGTATAACTGGGGATTGAGATGAAGCTTCTGGTTGGTTGAAATGGACGGATGTGGGGGACTCTAGCTGTGTGGGAGATGAGGTAGGATAGTGTGGACTCGGGAGAGGAGGAAGACTACCAACAGTTTCAAAAGGGAGTAAGAATCCGGAAGTGGGGAGTGTGAGAGCTGGTGGTCAGCGATGGTCCAGACAAAGTGGGGGCCTTCTATAATTCACAACTTGAGAGCTCAACTGACAAAAGTGGGGTTGTCAAACAGAAGCTGCCCTGTAAGCTCACACCTGTGCTCAGGCACGCCAAACTAATTCAGTTTTTGAGGTGCACTGTATCCACTCACTCTCTATCTACTGAGTCCATTAGGAAGCTGGTTTACGAATAAACTTCAGACTTCTGCCTGCATGGCATTTCAGAGAAGCTAACTGCGCATTTGTACTAGTTTTTCCCACTCTTCAGAGGCTTCTTATCTAACTTTTAAAAAGACAAAATAGCCAGGAGGTGATGGTGCATGAATTTAATCCCAGCACTCAGGAGGCAAAGGCAGGAGGGTCTCTCTGAGTTTGAGGCCAGCCTGGTCTACAAAGTGAGTTCCAGGACAGCCAAGGCTACACAGAGAAACCCTATCTCAAAAAACAAAAACAAACAAAAAACTAAAAAAGAAAAAAGATAAAATAAAGTTTAAAAGCTGAAAGAAAAGAAGAAATTCCCTTATCACTATCTGAATCACCCTGAACTCATTTCCGTTGACCAGGCACCCTGGCCTGCACACAAATGAGGAAACATTCCTAAGAAGGAATAGGCTGTAGTGACGGCAGAGGTTCCTTCATCCTGGGTCTCACTTCATGTTTTGGATGCTGCAAGGCTGGGTGAGAAGAAACTCCAGGCAGCTGGTCTGCCTCAGAGCACTGCCATGAACCACTTCGAGGCCATTCTGGCTCAGGTACGGACTCTGCTCTCCAGCCAGCAGCCCAGGCAGGTTCAGGCCCTCCTGGATGGCCTGTTGGAAGAAGAGCTGCTCTCCCGGGAATACCACTGTGCCCTGCTCCATGAGCCTGATGGTGAGGCTCTGGCTCGAAAGATTTCCTTGACCCTGCTGGAGAAAGAGGACTTAGGCTTGGCTTACTCCAGCTGGGTCTGCAGCAGGCTGCAGGCCCCAGCAGTAGAGAGGGCCACCAGCTACAGGGATCATGGAGGTAAGCTGGCATCCCTTTGAGTCAAGAGAAATAATGAGTGGCCAGCCCCAAGGTTTTCTTTCATCTATGAAAGGGAGGTCTGTGTGTAGGATGCAGGGCAAGCTCCTGGAAAACCTGGGCGGCTGGGTGCTGAGGGCATGTAGCATACTTCCCACACTGAGCAGAGCATATTCAGGGCATTCTGCTGACTACTTGCTTGGTCCATGCCTAAGCACCATTAACACTGGGCTGCAAGGTACACGGTAGACAGAGAAACTTCTGCTTCCAGCAGATACAGCATCTAGTGGGAAGACAGAAAGAGATACAATTAGTCACTTCAAGGCAAAAATAGAGAAACTGTGCCTGGGAATGTAACTCAGTTGGTAGAGTGCTGGCCTAGCATACACCAAGCACTAAGTTTGGTCCCAGCACTGCTTAAATGGGAAGTAATAGTGCACGTTTGTAATTTCAGCAGTTGGGAGATGGAATTAGGGGAATTAGAAATTCAAGTTCATCCTTGGCTATATATTGAGATCCTGTCCAAAAAAAAAAAAAAGATGTAGAGAAAGGGAGTCAAGGAAATGGAGGGCTAAAGAGTTGGAAATAAGAGGATAGTGGTGTGTGTGTGAGAGAGAGAGAGAGACAGACAGATAGAGACAGACAGAGACAGACAGAGACAGAGACAGAGAAACACACACACAGAGACAGACAGAGACAGAGACACAGAGAGACAGAGACAGAGAAACACACACACACACACACAGAGAGAGAGAGAGAGAGAGAGAGAGAGAGAGAGAGAGAGAGAGAGAGACTGACTGACTGACTGACTGACTGACTGACTGACTGACTGACAAAGGGATAGAGAAAAAGAAAGTCAGAGATGCTCCGATGGACCAAGAGGGGAAAGAGGAGAGAGAAAATAAAAGAGAGCTGGAAGGAAAGGGAATGAAAAACTGGTAGGAGACAGAGACATGGAGAAATAGAAGCCAGCCCATGAGGAGAGAGAAAGAGTGTCTTCATCTTTTTTATTACATTTATTTCTTTGTGAGGGCAGTCAAAGGACAACTTGTGGGAGTTGGTTCTCTTCTTCCATGTGGGTTCCAGGGATTGAACTCAGGTTGTCAGCACCTTTACCCCCTGGGCCATCTCACCTGTCCTAGTGTCTTTTGTTCACTTTCTTTGGTGCTAAGGATGGAACCCAGGGCTTTGTGTGTGACAGCATGCGCTCCATCACTGAGCTCCACCCTAGCCTGCTTCTGCCTCCTAAGTCCAAGAGAAGCTAATACTGCCATCTCTACTTCCATCTTTCACTCCTCCAGCATGTCCTCCAGGAACAGATGCTCACTGAGACAGAGCATGTCCTGTCCTCCATGTGTGCTATTACAGTATCAGCATTGGGGTCACAGATTCCAGTCTCTTTGGTCCCATCATGTTTCCAACTTGCAGACATCCTGTACTTGGTGCCTATTGAGTCCTTACAATGTTCAGAGCACAGGTGAAACAATCCACACCCTCTTTCTAGGTCTCCCGCCCATCCCAACCCCTTGAATGCATGTATCCCTCATCTAATGCACAAAGCAGAAACTAGCTAGTAGATGCCTCAGGGTAGGAAGTAGCAGAGGCCAGTTTGGAAGACAGACAAGCTGTGCTCCTGAATCTGACCAGGGTGGAGGGAGTGGTCAATGTTTTTTGATGACCATGAAGCACTAGACAATGCCGGACTCTCCCATATATGCATTGTATCAGTGGGGTTGACTGCACTTGTGTATAAATTCCCAGGTTGGTAGTATCTTTCCTCTCCTGAATACAGCTCATATTCTCTCCCTCCTAACATGGACACAGTGGGGAACATCTGCTTCCTATCAGATCTCTGGATTTCCAACAGAGTGTGGGTGGCCAGTGTTTATCTACTGGGACAATCATCCACCTGGGGAAGAGGTGAGAGCCTTCCTCTTTCTTCAGACTGCCACCAAGAGCAGCTCCCTCTCTCCACTGATGCCCACACCTCAGCCACTGCTATCCCCTCTTTCTGAGTACACTGGTTCCTGTTTTTAACTCATTTCCTTCCTGGGGGGGGTGCAATATTTTGTTTTGGATGTCACATGACTTCAGAAAATAGAAGTGGACTTAGGGTGTGAACATCAGGGTCCAGGAGACAGAGGGGCATGGTCCTTACTCTCTTTTCCTGTCCTCCAGGTCAGCTCTGTCCCAGACTGGGGCTACACACACACACACACACACACACACACACACACACACACAGAGAGAGAGAGAGAGAGAGAGAGAGAGAGAGAGAGAGAGAGAGCAGGCAGAGATGGAGAATGTGGAAGGGGAGACCCCCCTCCCAGGGGAGGAAAACATGAGATTTGGAAATGAAAAACACTGCCTGAATTCAACAGAAGATTGCAAAAAGGAAGCCATTGGTGTCGGGTTTTGTACTCACTTGGGAATGATCTAGGCCATCCACTGCTATGACACTGCATTGGCTCCCTGTGTCACTCAAGAAAATCTGGATGTTAGCACACAGGCCTGCCACATTCTGCCTCCCATCATCTCTCTGACCTCATTCCCTGCTGTTATCAACTGCAGCCCCTCCCAAGTCCCCAGTGTTCTCCAGACACATTTGCTTACCACCTGCCTCAGGACCTTTGCATGTTCTGTCCTCTGCCTGGAGTACTCCTCTCCAGGTATTCTCTTGGCCAACCTCCTAAAATGCCCTTTAACTCTTGCCTCAAATATCACTTATCATCAAAACCTACCCTGAACATACAAATCCCTCCCTGCTGTAACCCCCTGCTGAGGGAGGCAGAGACAGGAGGAAATGTGGTGCTTTCTGGATGTCATCTCAGTGCTGAGTTCAGTGAGAGACTGTGTCAGGGGACTGAGGTGGACAGTGATACAGCAGGATGCCCAGTTTCCTCTCTGTGCCTGCCTACACACACATTCAAACACACACACACACACACACACACACACACACACAACACTCCTCCCCCCTGCACAGACTTTTAAAAACCGTCTATATAATTTATTTTTTGTGCTTTGTGTGTTTGTAAAGAAGCTCCACACAGCAAAGCTTATGTTTTAATCATGATATGTCTCAAATGCCCAATATAGTATAATTCTAAGGACACAGTAGGCATGCAATATGTATTTGTTGAATGTTGAACGGTTTTGTGTATGGATTGATGAATGGATGGTGGATGGGCGGATGGGTAATGGATGTGTATTGGGTAGATGAACATGTGGCAGTGAGTGGGTGTATAAGGAGTGGTGGATGAATGAATGGATAGGTGAGGAAGTGGGTGAGCACATGCATGGATGGATGGATGGATGGATGGATGGATGGATGGATGGATGGGGTGAAAGGTAGTTGAATGAGTCGGTAGACTGATAAATGGATATATGGTTGTGGGGTAGGTTTATGGATGGATGACTATGTGGCTGTGTAGGTAAATAGGTGGAGGGGGAAGATAGGTTGATGGATAGATGATGGACAGATAGGTGAGTAGATGGGTGGATGGGTAGGTGGATAGATGGATGAATGGATAGATGTATGGATGGATGTAGATGGATGGACGGACGGACGGAAGGACAGACAGATGGATAAATTATTGGGTGATTGTGTGGGTGGGCAGACTGATGGTGACCATATATGGGTCATGCACTGCCACTCTTCTCTCTTTACAAATGAATAAGCTGAGGCCCAGAGAAGTTAAACAACCATGTGTCTTGGATATAGGGAGGGCCCATTTCATCTAAAGAATGTGGACAAATTCCATCCTTTTCTGCTTGGCTGCCTTTTCTGAGCAGCCCAAGGATCCAGGAAATCTTCCAGAACAGGTGGGCAATTTCTGAGCTGATAAGAGGTGGTACCCTGCCCTCGTTGCAGCTATACAAGAAAGCACTGTCTGAAAGAAGATCCTGGGAGATTGGCTCTGATCTACACAGAGCAGTGTGTATGTGCACAGTCCCCAGTAGAGCTCCAGCAAGTCTGGAGCTCATGGTTTCATCCCAAGGGAACTCAGGGGGCTCAATGAGAAATCAGACACTCAGACAGAAGTTAGTCAGTCTATAACCCCTGAGAGGGAGGCATAAGCCAGGGAAGGGCAAAATAGAAAGGAGTGGTCCTGATGAAGAAAGAACTAGTTGTAAAATGGAGGCTACACAAGTCACAGTCACTGTTCTATGGGTTTGGGGACAGCATCCGATGTGAGACATGAACATTCCCAGTCCCAGTCAGCTGTTTCTGACTCCTGAGGCATCAAGGCTGGTGTCTTAGGTGACTATGGTCTGGTGTGAACAGGAGAGGGCAGCCCCACCCTCAGGTTTGTTCATGAGCTAGGAAGTATTTTGTCATCTTTTCTCTGGGCTTTAGGACATTCCTTCCAGGCTCCTGACTCGGGGCTACATTCGATTGCACTATACTCTGTTCTGAGTACTGCATTACTGCATACTGTCTTGGTGCCTCTGGGATTTCCCCACCTGGATTCCATCCTGGGAAACACAGCATAAAGTCTCCCTCCAGGATGCAGCCTTATTTATTGGAAAGGGACACCCCCCTCAGCTTCCTTCCCCATTTGAAGGTTAGGATGAAGGGACTGCCCATATCGGTTTCCTCCCTCTTCCAGGTGTCTTCCCCAGCTCCAGGCCTGCTCCCAGATGCATACCTCTTTATTTCCTGGAAGCAGGTAGGTTTCTTGGAGGACTCAGTTTTTCCCCTGGCATGCCTCCCAGCACTTATTAGCCAGTGATTCTTTCACTCCCAGGAGCCACAAAAGAAGTCCTGTGTTGGGAAGGGGAAGTTGTCACTTCCCAGAGGATTTCCCCAGCCTGCTCTGTGTCCTCTTGCCTCAGAACTTGGCACCTGACCCAGCCAGGGACTGCTTCTGATTCTGTTGCTATTACCTTGAATGGCTCACCTGGACCCTTTTCCCAATCGCCTCCTGGGCATTTTGTGTATCCCTCTGACACACTTTCTTCATCCCCTACCTAACCTTCTCCAGTCTACTTCTCAATGA